AGACAGAGTCTCTGTCACCCAGGCTGGAGTGCAGTGGGGTGATCTCGGCTCACTGCAACCTCCGCCTCCCGGGTTCAAGCAATCCTCCTGCCTCAGCCTCCCAAGTAGCTGGGATTATAGACACGTGCCACCACACCTGGCTAATGTTTTGTATTTTAGCCGAGACAGGATTTCACTGTGTTAGCCAGGATGGTCTCGATCTCCTGACCTCATAATCTGCCCATCTTGGCCTCCCAAAGTGCTGGGATTATAGGCATAAGCCACAGTGCCCGGTCCTGACATGACAATATGTATTCTTTTGTTTCTGGTACAGAACCACCACCACATGTCTACATGGCAACCCTCTAAAACAGATATTATGGGGAGACAAATTATCTAAGGCTTTGATTAAAGTATGAGACTTGCTCTAGGTCATATGGTTGAAACATGACAGAGCTCGGTGTCTGAGAATCAAAAGGCTAAGTTTTTCCACATTCTTCACAGTACACCAGGATAAAAGCAATATTTACTAAAAATTGAGGTATTTCTCACCTGTCCATCCACTAACACAATGACTATTACTATTATTTTTTTAGAGACAGGGTCTTACTCTGTTGCCCAGGTTGGAGTGCAATAACACAACTGCAGTTTACTGCAACCTCCAAACTCCTAGGCTCAGGTGATCCTCTCCTGCCTGCCTCTGCCTCCTGAGTAACTGGGAATATTAGGCACATATGACCATGCCTGGCTTCCAATTATCTTTTGAATTCAGAACCTCCACGATAGTAGAAATGAGCAAGGTTAGAGTGTATAACTAAACCAGTTAGACAAGGAGCTAAAAGATGGAAAGAAAGGGCAAGAAAATCCTCTCTTCTGGGCTACATAAACACATCTGGGGACAGCCCAAGGTTTCACTGGTAACAACAACTCAAGCAAGAGTTTGGCTAGAAAAGAAGTATTCCAAAGCATTGGGACTCTGATGCTGGATTCCAAGGAGAAGCTGATTCAGATTTATTCTTCCCAGACGTTAGTCACACTCCTGGGAAATCCAGGTATTAGCAATTCATCAACATTTTAGATACTTCACAGAGGGAACAGAATCCCAAAGTAAGAAACACCATTGTACCTTGGGCCTCCAGTTTCTTTAGGAGGCGGTTGTCTGTCTTGTTCAACACCTCAGTAATTTTGACCTTAGGTGGCCGACCTCGGCCCCGTTTCACCTTGGGGACTTCCTTAGTCTTAGCCTTCTCAGTATTTCGAGGTCGACCCCGTTTGCCAGTAATTGCCTGAATCCTTGATGGGATCTCCTCTGCTGAGAGCTGCACCCATTGCAGGCCCTACGGTAGCAAAGAAGTCTGTTACAGTGGGAAGGAATCAGTGCAGGCCATAGGCCCTCAGAACCATTCAATGCCCCAGAACCTTCAAACCCCACAAGCATATTTAACCCTTGGGTCTGCACCTCTGGTGTGTCTCTTTCTTCAAAGAAGTCTCCAACAGGCATACGGGGACTGAAGCTAAAGTGCTCACGGCGGACACCGTGTACCACGTTGCGGCTCAGGTACTAAGAGGAGGAAGTAAAGTAACATTAATAAAGTTGGAAGCTTACTATGTCTTTGGCCAGCAAAGGCACAAGCAGAAAAGGCCCAGAATAGACAATGCCAGCCTGTTGCCACTGAGCCCAAGAAAGGAGACTGTGCTTCGTTTTAAAAAGCTACATTACCTTGATCACTTCTGGAAATTGCTTCATCCTCTTCCCACAGGGGCCATAATACCAGGTCTCCCCCTGCCACCGGTGGCTGCCCTTCTTGATGCGTACCTCTCTCCGCCACCTGCCAGAGAAGCACATGGGCCCTGCCGCCAGGTCACACCCCTACCCACTCCCATGACACCTAAGGGCCAAGCCCTCTGAGCAGATGGTCCTCCCCACATTTGTATCACTAGAAATACATGTAGATCCAAAAGCACCTGGAGAGAGAAGCTTGGCTAGAAGGCTGACTTGAGCTCCAGCAAACACATCAATGCCCTTAGGAGAAAAACAATACACCAAACTGCACAAGATCAGACAGATCTCCACCCCTCCTTTACAAAATCAGTGAGATAAACAGCCAGAAACCCCTCCCTGATGCCATTCAGAGCAGTTACTGGATTTCCAGTAAAGAGGATCAAGACCTAAGGGGAATAAATGCAGAAGACAAAGGGCAGGGAGGCAAGCAGAAAAGTAAATTTGCTGCTGACTCCATGAAGTGACTCAATATGCCAGAGTTTAGTTAGGAACTCTGTGTTCTGAGCAATGTTATTCTAAGACTCATCTTTCTCTCAAAATTTTAAGCAATACTCAGACTTGGTGACCACAAGTAGCCTTGAGGGGCAGGGGTGGGGAAGATCCAGGAAAGCAGTTATTTCCACAAGGCCCTGGTGTCAGCTGATTTGTTCATTTTGGTCACATACTGTTCCTGCCCTTACCTCTCCAAAGAGCATTAAAATAGCAACAAAACCATCCCAATTCGTTAGTACTAAATCACTCCTCATTCATTACTATCCCTTCTCCACAGAAATAGGACAAGCCAGCTAGTTTGGATATGAGCCCTAGGGTTTGGAAAAGATAATGGCTGGAGCTCCTCAGCTAGAGCTGAGCAGAACCGAGTTACTACAAGATGAAGAAAGAATAGGTGAAAGACAGACCGACCTTGAGAAAGGAAGGAAAATCGAAGAATCTAGAATCTCATGCCAAGAAACATTATCATTGCAGATAACTGTACTGTAATCTACTCTTGTCTGGCCCAATTCCTCCCCCACCTCAGAGGAAAAGAGGCATTCCCTTCTTTCTAGAGTTATGTATTAAACTTGTCAAGGTCAATGCATGAAGCAAACTAGAGCATTTACCCATGTTGGAGGGGAAGACGAACTTCCTCTGGGGTAGCAATACGTCTCCTCAGGACATCACCTTGGGAGGAAGACAAGAGATACCCAAGTTAACAGTTCAAGCAAGATATTAAAACAATACTCCAGGAGGGAAGGGCTAAATGCAACATGGGACAGAAAGTTTTTTGGAACCAGACAGGAATAAAATAGAATCTGGATACTCACCACTACCAGAAGTAGTGAGTCCTTCTCCAGTGATCTCTTCCTGGTCAGCAGTGGTTTCTGGGAAGCTGCTGATATCCTTATTTGCTGGGGAGGCTGTTGGGAAGGCAGCTGCTGGGGAAGTTACAGGAGAGGCTTTTGGGGACGCCACTGAAGCAGTCAAGGGGACTTCTGAGGAGACTGCTGGGAGGATTGCTGAGGAAGCTGGAGAGACCACTGAGAAGACTGCTGGAGAGACAACTGTAGAAGCCACTGGACAAACTTCTGGAGAGATTTCTGGGGAGGCTGGTGGAGAAACCACCAGGGAGACTGCTGGGGAGGCTGTTGGCGAGACTGCTGGTGAGGTTGCTGGATGTAGCTGAATAGCGGATGGCTGATCGGGAGCTGGCTGAGTCAGGGATGGTGGGAAATCTGAAGACTGAGTTTCCATTTCTTCCTGTTCAGCGTCACTACCATTATTCAGGTCAAAGCTGTTATCTAGAATCCAAAGGGAGAGGATAAACTTAAAAAAAAAAAAGAAAAGCATCACATAAAACCAGAGAATCTCCTCAGTCAAACCTGGACCAAGCTAAACAGGGTTACTTCAAGGGCTCTTCCCTAAGGCTGAAAAAAGAAGTAGCTTCTGGCTTTTGTTCCAACCAATCATGAAGATTAAAGGGCAAAGTTGCTACAGCTGTCACTGTGTAAAGCAATCAGTACCTTTTACCTGGTGCCAATAAGGCTGCTAGCCTCATTTTCCCTACAAATTCCAAGTCTCACAAGTTCTTCAAAGCAGAAGGCCCAGGTCAGAGTGTAGCAGCCTGTGCCTCCTTTGGTCTCCTTTAGTCCTGTGTGATATACTATCACACAGCCCCTCAGCTCCCAGCAAGGTGGTCTTACAGATTTCCCACTCTTAATGCCCTAACTATGAAACTTACTCTCTCATCTTTTCTCAGGTCAACGTCTTTCTTTGTCCTATCTACCCTCACTTACCTTGCAGGACAGACTCCCCTAGGACAGGTGGAGAGGCGGGACTGGCAAAGATAGAGGTTGATGTTTGACTATCATCTGCCAGGAGACTGAAGGCAGTAGCATTATTGAGGGAAGGGCAATCAAGGGCAGAGATCACAGTGCTGTCCTCAAGAGGCAGCTTGTCCTCTGCACCCATCAGCTCCGTGTCATCAATACCATATAGTCCTCCACTCACTGGCTCTGTTCACAGGAGTAGAAAAATCAGAGCAGAATAATGACAAAAAAACCAGAAAGCAAGATTTAAGAAACATTGGTCAGAAAATATCCAATTCTAGTTCCCACAGTGTGAAGATTCTTCCTAATATTAAATTAGGTAACAACTACAGCCCTCTCCCTGAAATAGTAGTCATGAGACTATAGAGATCATAAAAGTTTGAGGGGAGGCCGAAGCAGGAGAATTGCCTGAGGCCAGGAGTTCAAGACCAGCCTGGGCAATATAGGAAAACCTCATCTCTACAAAAATAGTTTGAGGTGAAAATTAAAGGAAAGGCATTGGTGGTATTATCTACCCAGAGACCTAGGCAAAATTCTAGCATTTATCATAAAATATGTCTTGTACTTCAGTGGGGTAAAAGGTAACCGCTCACCGATAAATGCTTTCTTCCTAGTTAGAACCCAGAAAGACCAACTGTGTGGTGCTAAGTTCCTCAGATCCAGTGAATTATTATAGCCCAGCGCTCTTGGCCAAAAGGAATACTGGGAAAGAACCTGGGACATGAACCAATTCAGCTCAGAGTTCAGTGAGCACAGCAAGGCCAGTAGCATGTAACTATAGTCTGCCTTAGGCCTATCTGGAAGTCCCAGTGCCCCTGATTCCCTAATACTTTCCCTGTTTTACTGTCTCTTTCAGGTAAAAGTTGGCTATTCTCGGCATGGATAAGTTAAAGGGAGCCAGCCTACAGGCCTACCTGGTGCCAGGGAGTTGAAGGGCTCCAGAGAGTCTTCACTGAGGATTGGAGTGTCTTCCAGTTGATCAGGAAGATGTGAAGGATCATCTAAACAGCTCACTGTGGGGTCAGGGACCAGGACTGAGACTTCTTGGTGTAACGATTCCACAGAAGGGACAGAGCCATTGTAGCCACACATCTTCAGTTCTAGGAAATCCCAGGAGAGACCAAAAGTCAAAATCAGTGCCTTCAACTGGTTCACTTAGCTACAGTAGGCAGTCAATCTTTGCTAGAAGGATGTTTATTCATTCAACATTTACTCTGAGCAGAGATGTGTTGGTAAAATCAATCCTACAGTGGTCAAAGAGAGGAAAAAAGAGAGAGGTCTGAGACAAGAATTCCATCATGTTCTCAGATATCTCCCCCATCCAGTGGGAAACAGAGAAAACACCCTGAAATTTTCTAGAGTGGTGGTTACTCTTTTACCAGGAATTTGCAAGCTAAGCTTTTATCTATTTTGAGGAAAAAGATGAGAGGGGTTGTCACATGTACTAATGCTAAACAACAAAAAAGGAAAACTGAGCAGACAAACGATGATATATGCTCTGCCTGCTTCCTTTCCTCCTTTGCATGCCAATCACTACTTGGGCTCAGCCCACTTCAGCAGCCAGTCCGATTGTGCCGTAGTCAGTTAAAACAACCTCAATGCCCACTGCTAGACCCTAATCCCTTCGTATATTTTTAAAGATGGCTTTCTTGACGCAAGGTGTCTGTTGGGGCTGCTTTGGGCTCGCCCACCTGCCCTCTCCAGGCCAGCAGCTCTGCATGAGCTTGAAATAATTTGCACTCCCACTCGTGGAGCTGGTGCTGCTGCCACAAAAACACCAGCCACTTGGCTCTGCTAATTGCTAATCACCAACATGCAAATCAGCCTCCACTGCAGAGAGCTGAAAAGACAAGTTTTCCTCACCTCAAAAAGCCACTGTCCCCCCAGCTCCATTTTCCCTTTCCCTACCCAGTTCACCAACCCAGTTATACCTGGCTGCTCTTCTTCCAGCTCCAGGCTGCCTACCAAGCCAGTGCCATTCTCTGCCACAACTGAAGTCATCTCCTTTTCTGCTGCCTCGTCAGGATGGATACCACTGCCTACCTCCTGGGAGGGTGCAAAGGTTTGAATGCTAGATCCCAACATAGGAGAAGTCTGTGGGGAGGTAAAAAAACTAGGGGCTCCATTGGGCATCACCTCAAAATTCTGGTCAGGAAAGGAATCATACAGTTCTTGTGAATCAAAGTTAAGCCCCAGGGGACTCTGGGTACCGTTGGCCCAGAACTCTTGGCTCCCAGCCCGAAGGTTAGTGTTGTGAGTTGGGGATGAAGGTTGCCGGCTGCCCACAAGGATGCCGTTGAGTGGGTATTGTCCCCCCGAGAACTGGGAGAGAAGGGGTGGGTCCTTGAGGTTGCTGCCAGGATTGGCAGATGGGTACTGTGAGTAGTTCCAGAGACAGTCGTAGGCCACGCTGGGGTGATGGAGGTGTGAGGTGCTGGAGGAGTGGGGAGCAGAGTTCAAAATCCCTGAAGTAGTAGTGTGAGATACAGTAGATAAGCCATTAACATTCACATCCCCATTCAAACCTGGTAGAGAGGGAAAGAAAAGGTCAGTTACAGATTTGTAGGCGAGCAACTCTGCCAAAACAAACCCAAACTAATAACACTGACTAGAAAAAGACAAGGTAAAGGGAAGGGGGATTCCTCCCCTGCTGTATTTAGTTTTTTGGTCTCTGGAGAACACCAAGCCCAGAGGCTCCTGGATGTAAGCTTAACACTGCTGCTGAGGCTGCTGAGTAGGGGGGCTAGAGAGCTCTCCAAGCCTACCACAGGAGCCACCAGCAGAGCTGGTTGCTGCTGGCTTTTTTTTTTTTTTAACTAAACGAAGCTGTTTGCAGACTCCCTACAGTGACTTACATTCTGCCCCACTCTTATTCCCTAGGGGATTTCTTCCCTTAGAGGGGCATGACTGAATTCTCCAGGGCCCCCCTTTCCCCGGTGCCTATTTGGCCCCACAGTGGCACCAGAAGGGACAGCCTCCACCTCACTGGCACATGCAGATCCAGCACTTTGTGCTGGGCTAAGAATAGAATTTGCAGTCACCACAGCGACAAGATCCCAGCTCAGGAGGCTGGGCTTGGCCCTTCCCCATAGGCACTGGAAGGTAATATGCCAGCTGGGGGGTCAGGGGAACCTTTGCATGCAGTGCTGTAGAATTCAGCTCTTAATATCAATGACAACCTCTGGAATGAAGGAAAATCAAACAAAAAGAACCAAGATATAAGGAAGCTTGAGGGGTAGGGGGGAATCCAATGAAATTAAGGAGCTTCTATCATCGGCAACCCTCTTGGAGAGAATAGGAGGGAGAAGTAGCAGTATTTTTCTGCTGCAAGGAAGGACGGAAGCATGTGTGCTTCTCTCTGCTTCCAAGCATGAAGGACCGGAAAGCCAAGCAAGATTATAGAGGTACCTGGCAGAATCATGGTACAGAACAACTGATAAGCCAAATCCAGGAAAAGACCCAATCCTAACAGCAACACCTCCATATAGAATTATGAACTTCTCTCTGGGGAACTAGGTAAGCACTAAACTTTCCCTTGTTCCTACCTTCCATCCAAGGACAGAAGGTGGCACAGGTACTTCGAGCATCTGCTTTTCTCTGATATACAAACTAAAAGGCAATACACTGCAACCTTCACTCAACTCTCAGTCCTGGCCCATTGGAGCTTCCCTAACCTCTGCAAACAGCTTCTTGGAAGTCTGGTCCTTTATCTCTCTCAGGAGTCCAACCTAGTTATCAGCAGCAGTAGCCACCTCCCCGCTCTGTCAGCAGCTAGGAGAACAGAGCTGACAGAAGAATAGGCTAAGATGAAAAAGCAAGTGGGTTTTTCTAATCTCTTCCAACCTTAAGTCAATACAAAAAAAAAGTTTCCAAGGCCAGCACGGTAATTCCAAGGCTCACACTGGTAATCCCAGCACTTTGGGAGGCTGAGGCGGAGGGAATCACAAGGTCAAGAGATCGAGACCATCCTGGTCAATTTGGTGAAACCCCGTCTCTACTAAAAATACAAAAATTAGCTGGACATTGTGACATATGCCTATAGTCCCAGCCACTAGGAAGGCTGAGGCAGGAGAAGTACCTGGACCTGGGAGGTGGACGTTGCAGTGAGCCGAGATTGCACCACCATACTCCAGCCTGGTGACAGAGCAAGACTCCGTTCTCAAAAAAAAAAGTGGGCGGGCGCGGTGGCTCAAGCCTGTAATCCCAGCACTTTGGGAGGCCCAGGCGGGTGGATCACGAGGTCAAGAGATCGAGACCATCCTGGTCAACATGGTGAAACCCTGTCTCTACTAAAACTACAAAAAATTAGCTGGGCATGGTGGTGCATGCCTGTAATCCCAGCTACTCGGGAGGCTGAGGCAGGAGAATTGCCTGAGCCCAGGAGGCCGAGGCTGCGGTGAGCCGAGATCGCGCCATTGCACTCCAGCCTGGGTAACAAGAGCGAAACTCCGTCTCCAAAAAAAGTTTCCAAAACCCTAGAACTTATTCTTAGAAGTTGATTACTCGGGGCCAGGCGCGGTGGCTCAAGCCTGTAATCCCAGCACTGTGGGAGGCCGAGGCGGGTGGATCACGAGGTCAAGAGATCGAGACCATCCTGGTCAACATGGTGAAACCCCGTCTCTACTAA